CCCCTCTTTGTCCCCCCCTAACCCTCTTTCTTCATTAGACATGGTCATGGCACCACGCCACCCTCCTCGAAACAATCCCCTGGTCCATCCAAGACCCCGACCGGAAATCGTGTCTCCTCTACTCTGCGCAGTACTCTCACCCCTCCACCAATGGCGATAATCGCTACATTATTGCGGGAGGCGGGGGTGTGAATAATGAATTAAAGGTGTTTAATACTTCCACAAAACGGGTGCGTATTATCTGTTTTTACACAAAAAGGGGATGTTGACTAACTGTGTGTTAACACAGGCGGTAGGCATGGTCACAAACTTTCCGAACGCGGTGTACAGTACCGCCATGTCCCATAACGAAAAAATGGTGTGCGTGGGGGGCGGGAGTAAGATGGTGGGGGTGTATGATGTTGATACGCATTTGGTGGGGGAGTTTGTGTATTAATAAAGGAGAGAGAGGGTGGTGAAGGATCGGGTGGTGCGAGTGTGGTGTGTATGGCGGGTTTTGGTTACGAGTGCAGCAGGGATCGGTGGTGGTGTGAGCAGTGGTCCTGCTAATGGCTAGACCGTGTGGGTTTACACAACCATTGCCAAGCACCCACATCTAAAATAGCCCAATGGAACGGCCGCAGTGGCCATTCGCAAGTCTACGTCCCCCCCTTTTCCAACCTCATCCAAGTACCTCGCCGCAAATGTTCAAACATGATTGGTGATAAAGCCATTCAGGACCTGGGACGTACAGTACACCATAGGTCCATCAAGAGATGAACCCGTATCCCAACTTCCCGTTTTCCTGCCACTGCAAACCATACCTCTCGCCGCGCGCCCTCAACACGAAACGTCCCACGTTCCCATACCAAGATAAACAACTTCCTACCCAATACCAAGAGCTCTTGTGGTGCAATTGGCTAGTCGCGTTCGGCTATTAGGGGCGGGTACACCGTCAGGGACACGTCCAAAGCAACCGGAAGGTTGGTGGTCCAAGCCCACCCAAGAGCGATTGCATTCTAAAACAATCAATGAAGGAAGGGCGACATTATGGGGCTGTGAATTGTGGAAAACCTTGGGGTTTTGTTTTGTGCGCAGTCAAATGGTTTCGCGTCTGTGGCTGGCCAAGGCTTGGTGGGCTTCACATCCAAGCCACTCTCAATATTTTTGGATTTCGGTCCCTCCTGCGTCCTCTCCTCGCCATGAAATCGCTAAAAGGAAGACCAAAGCCCAAGAAGGGTGCGCCCAAAAACAAAGGGCGTGGAAAGAACCCTACCACGGCGCCGGTCGTAGCAAAAGTGGCACCTATTGTTCCCGCATCGGTGTCCTCAAATTGGAAGAAACTGTGCACGGTATGTGTGTAAAGGGACAAGTGATGGAACGTACGTGGTTCAAACTCTATTGGTATCTGTAGGTAATAAGCAAGCCGACACCCGTACCTGATGGAGGAGGGAAGAAAAAGGCGGTGGGGAAAAAGGACGCACGGTCGGTCGGTGAGAAGAGTTTATCAAAACCTAGCACAGAACCGGCAGGAGGACCAAAAAAGCGCAAGAAAGAGGCGGCACCCTCATCTTCCATCACACCTAAACCAAAGAAATCAAAAACCTCCGGTGGTGACGCCGCAGACTCTGACTCAGACTACGACCTCGTCTCCACCCCACTCCCCAACACCCTCGTCAAGAAACCCACACCCGTGTCTGTATTCTCCGGACCCGTTCGAACTGTGTCGGAATGGTTCGATTCCCTCGCGGGTGAGCGGGAGGATTTACCGTCTGGCGCGTTGGTGAAGCGGGATTTGGGGATTTTGGAGGAGGTTTTGACTGCGGGGGTCGACGATCGAGGGGTGGATTTGGAGGATGAGGAGAAGGAGGTGTCCAAGACAGCCAAGAAGAGAGCTAGGAAGGAGGAGGCGAGAGCGGGGGCGGTGGCGGAGAGTGAGGACGTGGATGGCGCAGGACCCGCGACTAAGAAGGCAAAGTTTGATGATACTGTGTCGGAGGCGGCAAAGACCAAGTAAGATTATCAAGTTTGTTTCGTCCGATGGTGGCTCCTTCAGACTGACGATCTTGGTTGTCACAGGATTGGCAAATACGTAGCAATCGACTGCGAGATGGTTGGTGTCGGCAAAGATGGGATACAGTCGATTCTAGCTCGTGTCTCGATTGTGAATTTCCACGGACACACGATTCTGGACACGTTCGTGAGCCCGCAGGAACATGTCACGGATTTCAGAACGTATGTGAGCGGAGTGACACCGGCGCTATTAAAAAATGGTATGGCGGAAGGTTCCTTGCCACTAATTTGGCTTGACCATTTCATTCCACACGAAATTAACACACTTTATCATTTTCAGCACCATCATTCCAAACAACCCAAACCCGCGTCGCCGAAATCCTCAAAGACCGTATCGTAGTCGGCCACGCCCTCAAAAACGACTTTGCAGCCCTCCTCCTCGACCACCCGCACCGCCTGATCCGCGACACGTCACAGTACAAACCCTTCCGTGCTCGCGCGCGCGGGAAATCCCCCGCACTACGTAAACTCGCACGGGAGTTATTGGGGTTGGAGATTCAAAGGGGCGAACATTCGAGTGTGGAGGATGCTAGGGTTGCCATGTTGTTGTATAGGAGTGTTAGGAGTGAGTGGGAACGGATGTTGGTTGCTAAATCTAATAAAAAAGAAGGATGATGCTGTCGGTATCCCATCGAAACGTTTGATGTTAGGTAAGCAAGTGCTTGGGTGCAAAGCTTCTGCCCCACAAGCACTTGGTTTGAACTTGTGTTTTCTCAAGCATGGACTCTTACAAATGGGATGCCCCCGTAAGGGGCGTAAGGGTGTGCGGCACGGCACGGCAAGTCAGCCTTGCTCGTTAACCAGTGCGGATGGATGGACAGACAAATGGTAGTAGTACCGGTGGTAGTGGCAAACCAAAGTTACGATGTATACGTCATTTGCGTTAACAGTTTGTTCAGTAGTTAGGAAGTTGGGTTTGCTTTGATATTATTTTGTTTCCTTTTGTTTTTGTCCTCTTTTGTTGCTTGCAAAGGGCGACTTGTTTGGGCTTGCGCGGTTGCCAGCTGCTGGAGTGTTGCTTGGAGGGCTTGTGCTTTTTTAAAAGCTTGTAGTCTTTTTTCAGGGTTCATTTTGGTTTTCATCTCCCGGACTTGGACCAGACCCGCGGGGGAGAGGTCCCTGCTACAGAAGATGCAGTACGCGTGACATGCATGAAAAAACCAATTTTCAATTTAGGTGTAAAGACACACAGCTGGTGGAGAGTGGAGGGTCCAGGTGGGCGGGAACAAAAAAAGAGTAAAGAGACCTGGGCGAGATCACATAAAAAGGTGCCTTGATCCTTCCAGAGCCCCATCTTTCCTTTCCCTTTTTCCTTGTTCTGAACCCCACTGGGCCTTCCATCGACCATCCCTGGGGGAGGCAAGCTGGCAATAAGGGTCCAATCGCACAGACACCAAAAAAACGCGTCACAAACCCCCCAGACAAACAAAGCACTTCGACCACTTCCCCCACCCACCGCGCATCTCTCACCACTGATCACCCGCACACAATGACTTCCTACTTTCCCCCGTACACGACGCAACCCATCCCCACGGGAGCAGGTCCCACGCGCGAGGAGGAAGCAGCCTACGCGACTCCACCCAACACCGCGACGCCGGAATCCGAGCTCGAGCTCGAGCAGCTTGAACAGCAGCTGGCGCTGGGGGATCTCGAGATTGGAGATGAGGATGTGTTTGTTTGTGAGGAGGTGTGTGAGGAGTATGGGGAGGATATTGCGAGGTATATGCGGGAAGTTGAGGTGAGGGAGTAGAAGGAGTGGTTTACTTTCCAAGCACCTGAGACAAAGACATACCGTTTCTTGTTTTGACTTTCTTCAGCTAAGCACAACCCCGACAAAAGACTGCTACACCCACCACCCCGAACTCGGCTGGAAGATCCGCAACACCCTAGTCCTCTGGCTCATCAACATCCACAAACAATACGCCTTCCGCCAAGAAACGCTCTACCTCACCATCAACATCATCGACCGCGTCGTCGCCTCCCGCGGTCAAAAAGGGATCGAAAAATCCCGGTTCCAACTCCTAGGTGTGACCGCCATGTGGGTCGCTTGCAAGTACGAGGAAAATCACCCAAACGTGCCCACCATGACGTGGCTCAGGACCGTCACGTCAAACAGTTACTACCCCGGCGAGTTTTTGCATATGGAAGCGCAGATTCTTAAAGAGGTCAAGTTTGAACTGGGGCATCCGACGCATGAAGCGTTCCTTAAGGCGAATTGTCGGTGGTTTAAGCATGTTCGGAGGGATAGTCAGGCGCTTGCGAGGTACCTTATGGAGAATTCGCTTGTGCATCGGAGGTTTTTGGGCGTGAGGCCGAGTACCATCGCCACTGCGAGTTTGTTGTTGGCTGAGAAGATGTGTTCGAGGGATGGGTGGTATCGGTTTGAGGATAAACGGATTTTGGAGTGTATGGAGATGTTGGAGGATTGTGTGAGGGTGCCGCAGAGGGAGTTGTATGATAAGGTATGGTTTCTTGCGCGCGCGTTTTGTGGTGTGGTTCTGTCTTGTTTACAAAGGGGGGCTCAAACTCATCTGTCTCTTCCATTGCAGTACATGGACCCAAAATACTACAACGCCAGTGAACGCGCCGACAGATACATCCTCTCCAAGTACGTACAGTCCCCCTCCCCCGCCTCAGGTTTACCCCTCAAC